AAAAGCTGCATGTGCTGATTCATATCCGTGGGTGCATGTTTGGAAATAAGCAAAGCGATTGATTGTGGAATTCTGGGATTTACCATTCAAAAATGTAACTTTTACAAGTAAAAGGGGGGGGGGAATCTACAATGTAAATAAATATAAACGGAACTGTCTAGGTACTAAGGTCTAGATTACAGCTTCAAGACTCAGTGCTTTCTCTTCTTTTGGTTCTTCATTTTTCCAATTGTATTTAAATTAGGCATCATTTCCAGTATTTTATTCCTGATTTCTCCCCAAAATCTAAAGTGACAAATATACAGCATAATACAATAAAGCCATTAACTGAGTAAATGGACAAATAAGCAAGTAGAGGGCTTCTTTGAATGCAGGACTGTCTCAAAGCTTAGGAAATTACTTTTAAGGAGAATGGCCGCAATGACCTGCTGGAGTCATCCATAACTAAGTGGTAGGACCCAATCTATTGTCTTATCGCTTTCTCCACTGGTAGCATTGGCTGAGTCCCAGAGGATCGTCCTCCCTAATCCTATGGATGGATTAGGCAAGTCATCACGTTAATGCTTCTTAAAAGTAACTCCCCAAGTTCAAATTAAAAGAATCTCCTATGAAAAGTGAGAGTCAATGCAGCGTAGCAGATAGCGTTGGACCAGGACTCAAGAGATTTGGGTTCAAATTCCCACTTGGCCGTGGAAACTCATTGGAAGATGGAAATAGTAAACCATTCTTTGAACATCTCACATACTTGAAAAATCACAAGTCAGGAGCAATTTTGGAGGCATAACATAACCCTTGTAACAACGGGACCCTGAATCACAAAGGTGGAATTGAACTACAAACAGTCAGAATGTCTGTTGCTTGTAATGTCTTGGCAAAAGAGCAGCATGTAGATGTTGTTTTTTCTTTCTGCCCTTTCTTGGTTGAAGATTATCAGTTCACATAATATACAATATTTTATTTCCTTGTTCTTCCAATGAGTGAGTGTGTGTGCATGGCCCTTTTCCTCCCCATTTTTATCCTGTGAGGTAGACCAGGCTGAAAAAATGTGACTGGTCCAAATTACCCACTGAGTTTCATAACTGAGTAAGGATTTGACCCCAGGTCTCTCAAATGCTATTCCAACCTTAGCTGCTCTACTCCACTGGCCTTCATGTC